CATCTGGCTGAAACTAACACTTAGAATGCTGATGCGGATGCGGATGCGGGGTCGGGTGCTGCTGCGGATGGCTGTAGTTATGACTTTGATGGTGCTGCTGTTTCTAATAACGATGATGCTGATGTTGATGAAGGTGATGATGCTGCTGCGAATTCTGATTTTGTTGATGACGATGCTGCTGCTGATTGTGCTGCTGTTGATGATTGTGATGCAGGTGGTGATGCTGCTGCTGATGATGCCGATGCTGTTGCTGCGGATGGTGAATCCGACGAGAAGGATGACGGTCATGATGAGGTCGTGAAGTGGTGATGGTGAGAAGGGGTAAGGACGTATGGTGCTGAGGTGCGATGAAATGAGGGGCCCTGGCACTGCAGGTTCGCTCCAGGTCGGCTCCGTAAGCCTCCCCAGACAGCCCAAGTGCCAGATAATGAGGGGGAGGAGGCGGATGCTGATTATGATGATGCTGTTGATGATGCTGATGATGGGGCTGACGATGGTGATGATGATGATGATGATGTTGATGCCGATGATGCTGATGATGATGATGATGATGCTGACGATGACGATGCTGATGGTGATGATGATGATGCTGATGGCAATGATGATACTGACGCTGAAGATGATGATGCTGATGATGCTGGTGACGATGGTGATGCGAAGGAGGAGGAGGGGGAGGAGGATGAGGAGGAGGAGGAGGAGGCGGAGGAGGAGGGGGGGAGGAGGACGAGGAAGAGGAGGCGGAGGCGGAGGAGGAGGAGAAACAGGTGGAGGCGGAGGAGGCGGATAAGGAGGAGGAGGAGGAGGAGGAGGAGGAGGATGAGGAGGAGGACAAGGGGGAGGAGGAGGAGGAACAAAACGACGATGCGGAGGAGGAGGGGGAGGAGGACGAGGAGGAGGAGGAGGAGGAAGAGGAGGAGGAGGATGACGAGGAGGAGGAGGAGGAAAACAATTAATACTAATAATACGGATAATCATACTGATCATACTACTACTTTTACTAATAGTGCATAGTAATGCTAATAATAATAGTAGTACGAATCATAATAATAATAAGAATACCAAGTAACTAATACTACTACTAATAGTACTACTAATGATACTAGTGGTACTGATAATAATACTAATAATAATATTACTACTTACTAATAATATTACTACTACTACTACTACTACTTATAATACCAATATTAATACTACCAATAATACTGATACTACTAATACTACTACCCATACCATTAACAACAACAAAACTAATACTAGTCATATTAGTATTAATATTAATAATAATACTAATGATAAAACTGATAAGGATATTGTTAATATTAATATGAACGCTAATAATAATACTAATATTAATAATAATAAGAATACTCATAATAGTAATTGTAATACTAATAATGATGATAATACTAATACTATTACTAATAATAATAATAGCACTAACAATAACAACACGACCAATACTGATAATGATAACCATAATAATTATACTACTAATAATGCTATTCGTGCTACTAATAATCGTACTACCGTTAATGCTAATACGAACACTATTACTATTATTATTATTACTAATATACAGTATTACTATTATTATTATTATTCATAATAACAAAACTGATACGAATGAGAATACTAGATAATCATAATACTAACACTAATAATAATAACACTAATAATACTACTACTAATGATAACAATAATACTACTAATATTAATAATAAAAAGAATAATGCGACTACTACTAATACGACGACTACTACTAATAATAATAATATTAATAATAATACTAATAATACTAATCGTAATACTAATAATACTACTAATAATAATACTAATAATAATACTAATAATAATAATACTATTATTATTATTATTAATAATAATACTATATATATAGGACGAAGAAGGGGAGGAAGAGGAGGAGGAGGATGATCAGGAGGAGGAGGAGGAGGAGGAGGAGGAGGAGGAGGATGAGGGCTGAGGAGGAGGAGGAGGACGAGGAGGAGGATGAGGAGGAGGAGGGAGAGATGAGGAGGAGGCGAGGAGGCGGAGGAAGAGGGAGGAGGCGGAGGGGAGAGGAGGAGGAGGAGGGAGGGGAGAGGAAGGAGGAGGAGGAGGAGGGGGGGAGAAGGAGGGGGGTGGAGGGGGAGGGGGAGGAGGAGGGGGGGGGAGGGGGGAGGGGAGGAGGAGGAGAGGAGGAGAAGAGGAGGAGGAGGAGGAGGAGGTATGAGGGAGGAGGAGGCGGAGGAGGAGGAGGAGGAGGAGGAGGAGGAGGAGGGGGAGGAGAAGGAGGAGGAGGAGGAGGAGTACAAGGAGGAGGAGGAGGAAGACGAGGAGGAGGATCAGGATTTTTTTTGACACCAACGATCGCTCCCCTGAAGTGCCGCCTCCGAAAGCGAGAAGACTTCGGATGAGAGGCACGCCGCGTACAGCAACAGGGGGGGTACTGTACGCACACGGCGAGGTTCAATGCATATTTAGCCGAGCCCGATACCACAAAACTCTGTCCCGATCCATGCGGCAGCCACATACAACACTGAGCGAACACTCAAATGCCAGGAAACCCCGTCGATCATGGAAAAAACATATGCCGAGGAAGAGCATGACATACCAGAACAAGGAAAAATATCCCAGAAACACTCCGTGGCTATTTATAACCAGCTGAAGGCAGACTGCATACTGAAAAGGCGGCCCTCTCCAGGATCATGAGGAAGATGAATCGGTACCCAAGCGCATGCAGATACCTCAGGAGCTTCCTCGCCGTCAGCAGGCACAGACGAAGGAGCAGCCGCAGCACCTCCTTCGCGTGAAACGCCATGAACACCGTCGAGCCGCTTGCGGAGCTGCACGAAGGGCTTGGAAGATCTGCCAGCGCCAGACCAGGCCACCAGCTGCTCTTCCACGAGCGCGCAGAACTCGTCTACGACGGTGCTGGCGTCTGCCTCATCGTGATGATCATCAACCGTATCGGTACCGAGGGTGCCGACTGCTCCCACCGAGGAAACACGTGAAGCAACATCGGCAGCCACGGCCATCGAATCGCCTGCAGCATCAGAGGGCAAGGGGACCCAGACCCCAGCGCCAGGTACGAAAGGAGAAGCATCAGCGCGCAGGCTCCACTCTTTTACAACCACGTGGCAAGAGGAGAACACCACAGTGCCACAAGTGCAGCCTAGCCCATTACCGCCTAGGCCGACCGCCCTGCCCAAGCGGGCCCCATGCTGGGCACGCCTCCAGTCAGCGATTGGCGCCCCCGCAGGCGGGCAGTACGCGGCATGAAAGGCACAATTGCGCTCCAGCCTGCGTATACCAGGCACCTGCGAGCCTTCGACGAGGGCCTGCAAGGCGGGCCGAGCGATGGCCTCACGCCGCGCCACCTCCGCCGCGACGGACGCGTCGGGAGGCGCCGCAACCAGTGCCCGAAGTCGCTGCAGCTCGCCTTTGGCCGCCGAGAGCTTCGCCTTGAGCTTCACGATGAGGTTGTCTGCGGAGGCCCGCGCTCCAGCGTGACCCCGCAGGACGATGCGCCCCGCGTCCGAAGCGCCTCCCGCAGCCATCCCCCGGCGGACCACCTCCAGAAACTTCAACTCCGGACGCCCATGACGAGCCGGTTTGAGCCCGGGGGCGCGCCCGCGCGAGCAGCTTGAGCCAAAATGGCTTGAGCCAAAATGGCTACGGACAGGAGGAGGATGAGGACAAGGAGGAGGAGGAGGCGGAGGAGGAGAAGGAAGACTAGAAGTAGAGCCGCGGAGGAGGAGGAAGAGGAGGAGGAGGAGGAGCTGAGGAGGAGGAGCTGAGGAGGAGGAGGAGGAGGAGGAGGAGGAGGATGAGGAGGAGGAGGGAGGTAGGAGGAGGAGGAGGAGGAGGAGGAGGAGGGGAAAGGAGGGGAGGGAGGAGGAGGAGGAGAGGGAGGAGGAGGAGGAGGAGGAGGAGACATGGGGAGGCGGATGAGGAGGAGGAGGAGGAGGAGGGGAGGAGAGGAGGAGAGGAGGGGCGAGAAAAACGAGGAGGGAGGAGGAGGAAGGAAGGAGGAGGAGGAGGAGGAGGAGGAGGAGGAGGAGGAGGGAGGAGGAAGAGGAGGAGGAGAGCGCGAGGGGGAGGAGAGGAGGAGGAGGCGGAGGAGGAGGAGGAGGAGGAGGAGGAGGAGGAGGAGGAGGAGAAGCGAGGAGCAGGAGGAGTAGGAGTAGGAGGAGGAGGGCCCAGGCCCTCCTCAGAGCGCCCCTGATTCCTTCGCTTACCCCCCAGCTCTTCCAAGGAGCACCCAACAACTCGGAAAAGTCTTCGGCCTCCTTCCACAAGAAAGTCTACAATCCTGAGTCCGAGGTCTCTCGGCCTTTTCAACTCTGGAAGCTATCCTCAGGCCCTTGACATCAAACCTCGATTCGGTATGTGATACAAGTCGCATGGAAGTGGCCGAGAGGACCATGGCCTTCAGCTTCACGCATTGTGGGTTGTTGGCGTCACCTTCCCCCGAGTTTCGGAGGGGGCGGCGGGACGGGACGGCCGTCGTTCATCTCGCCCGAGGGCCACTTGCCATTCATCGCGGCCGACGGCTAGCCGCCCCAGAGCACGGCAAGCTCTCAGAAGTGCCCACGGTGCTTCGGAACGGCTTCGGCGCCCGATGCTTCCTTCGAGCCGACAGGTGTAGGAGATCCCTGACCTGCTAATTCGTTATGCGGTCAGGAACTTGGGCTTAGTCTGTCGCTCCGCCGGTTCTGACCTACCATCCCTCAGCGTCCACGTCCCAAGCCTTTCCGAGCCTCCCGCCCCGCGGAGCGGAGCGACACGCGGGTCGCTTGCGAGGCATGGCGTGCCGCCGAGATCCCCGCCGCGACACGCTGAGCAAACGCTCCCGACCGTGATCCGTTACATCACGTTCAATCTCCCCGCCTCTGCATTGAGCTCGCCTCCGCAGCCGTTTTCGGCTTGGCGGGCGCGGCCGCCGTCCGAGCTCCATCCGCCCACCGTATCCGCAGCCGCGCCGCCCGAGGGCGGCCATGGTGGACATCGAGATGCGAGCAGGGCGGATGGTTCCGGGGGCCAGGCTCCGCAGACGGCACCTGCACAGCGCCGCCGTGCCTGGCCAGGGCCATCCGGTGCTTCAGGACCCAGGCGTGCTCGCGTCGCGAACAGCGAGATTACGACGGGCGGCTTTTGGCCGTGTTCGGTCTCCAGGGGGGCCCTCGCCGGGCCCCGGGACCCTCAAGGAACGACACTCGGGACGGAAAGCCGGCCTTGGGTAACGGGCCAGGACCGAAGGAGCCCCCCCCCCGTGATGAGTGGAACAGTCAGGATGTCGGTTATCTTGGGGTGGTGCGCCCTCCTGGCCTCGGCGAGGAGGGCGCGGAAGAGGGCACGGAGGAGGGCACGGAGGAGGAGGAGGAGGAGGAGGAGGAGGAGGAGGAGGGGAGGAGGAGGGGGGGGAGGAGAGGGAGGAGGCGGAGGAGGAGGAGGAGGTGCACCATGCCTGTGCCCAGGATGGCCCTGCCTGGGGCACCGCGGCGGCGTGCCGAGGCCCCCTCTGCGTGCAGGCCCGGCGACCCGGGAGCCGCCGCGGCACCGAGGCAGCTCGGGGAGCCCTGCGCACGCGGGAGCGCGGCGCCGTGCGAGCGGGACGACCTCGAGTGGCGGGGCCAAGACGGGCAGGGCCTGCGGCCCGCGCCGCCGCGGGCCGAGGCGCCGTCCCTGGCCGCGAGGGCGAGGCCGGGCCCGGGGCAAGGCGGCGTGGCGCGGTGGCTGGTCGGGCTGGCGGCCTGCGCCGTCGTGGCGTGCTCGCTGGGCGGCAGCGGGGGCGGTCGGGCTGGCGGCGGCGGGCCCGGCGGCGGCGAGGGCGAGGGCCCTCGCGCGGCGCCGCGCCCGCCCGACGCCCCGCTGGGTGTCGGCGAGAGCGGCCGGCCGCCGTTCGGGTCGGCCGTGGTCTACGGGGCGCAGGAGGTGCCGGGCCTCACCGAGTGGGAGTGCGCCTGCCAGCAGGACTCAGCATTGTCCGCCGCCGCCGCCGACGACGACGCCGACGCCGACGACGAACCACCTCACTACACCCACATGGGGGGGGGATCTTCAGCACCCTCCGCCGCCTTCGCGAGGCTCACGGGCGTGCCCACGGAGCGGAGGGGGGGGGGCTCGTTCCCAGACGCAGTGTGTGTGGGGGGGAGGTTGTGCAAGCCTGGATCTTGCACCCCCAGCCGGGGGCCCACGTCGGCCAGACGGACCGAGGCCACGCCCGTGGCGGTCACACGACGCCCAAGGACTGCGAGGACCCCCTGGTCAGGGGCATCCTGGAGAGGAGCGGCAAAGACTGCCCGGCGGCCGACGGGCAGGGCCTGCTGATCTCGAGCGACCTCGAGGACTGCCGCCTCGCCATGCCCTTTGTCGCCGCGGCGGGCACGGGGAAGACGTGCGTCAGCAGGGCCGCCGTCGAGAGCTCCTGCCGGGAGGTCCTCGACGGCTGGTGGGACGTCAAGCTCGGCACGTGGCGGGGAGACGCAGCGTTCGAGGCGTGGAAGGAGTTCGGCCGCAGTGCCGATGCAGATGAGGTGCTGGAGAGGTTTGCCCGGGACGTCCACGACCTTCCGCTGCTGAGGTGGGCCGAGAAGAGGAGCCCCGACCGTGCTTCCTTCCAGGTGGAGGACTTCCTCGCGTACGTGCAGCCCAGGTGCGTGGAGATGGTGCTCCGCGTTTTCGCAGGAGGGGAGCTCACCCAGCTGTCCGGGAACAGGCTTTGGTTTCAACATTCTTATACATGAGAGAAAATTGAGCATATTGGGATCTCACGATCGATCTCATTACCCATCTCTCTATCGATCTCACGATCGATCTCACCATCGATCTCATTATCGATCTCATAATCGATCTCACTATAGATCGCACGAGCGATCTCACGATCGATCCCACTATCGCGTATCGCTCTCACGATTGACCTTACAATCGTCCTCCCTATCGATTCCACTATCGATCTCACAATCGGTTTCCCTTTCCATATCATCCATATCACTAATTTTGAAACCATCCACTGATTTGGTGTTTCTCTGGTGACAAATGTTTGTATGTGAATGTGTGCAATATTGTCTGTGGCCTTTTGCCCACCGAGCCACTGCGCATGGGTTAAGGCCAGAAGTCTCTTTGGTATATCTGTCGGGGTCTTTCGTGATGCCATTCGAGGGCCTCTGGGAGGCATCGTGAGGGAACGCTTCGGGCCTCTGGGCTCTTTGAGACCTCATGGGGCCTCTCAGAGGCATCTTGAGGGTCCTCTTGGGTCTTCTGGGCTCTTGGAGGCATCTTGGGGCCTCTTGGGCGCTTCCCGGGTCTCTTCGGGGCATGTGGGATCTCCGAGGCTATCTTGGAAGGAACGGCTCCAAAGGCCACTTCGAGTTCCCCCTTTGGGGCCCCTCTTGTGGTCCTCTTGGGGGCCTTTTGCGTCGTCTTGGAGGCCTCTTGGGCCGTCTTGGGGCCCTCATTGGTCGTCATCGGGGCCTCTTGGGGCGACTTTGGGGACCTGCTGGGCCGTCTTCGGGGCCGTGACGCTCGGCAGTGCGAGCTCGTCAAAGTCCTTCAAAAGCGTACGGCATCTTAGTGGTTTGGCATCTTTGGGCTTTCTTGGGGGTCTCTCTTGGTACCCTACTGGGGCGTCCTTGGGCTCTGGGCCTTCTTGGACAGTCTCAGGGGGCCTCTTGGGACCTTCGGGCCCGTCTGGGCGTCCCCTGGCCTCTGTACATTCCCAGGCATTGCTGGCACCCAGTGGTTCTTACCTCCCTCCCCGAGGAATTGGACGAGTCAGCCGAGGTTTCGCCTGGTGCCCGCCTCGTGGGCGCCTCGTGGGCGCCTCGTGCGCTGGGTGGGTCAGCCGAGGAGGCTTCGCCTGGTGCCCGCCCCGAGCCACACTTTAGACATAAATAAGTCCAGAAGCCGCATTCTCACCTCACAGCGCGGTGCATCCGCGTCGAGCCAGCATGCGCCCCAGTGCACGAATCCGCATCCAGTCGTCCCATGCTGGCCGCGCGCGCGCGCCGCCACGCGCGCGTGCCGAGATCCCTCCCGGCACCAACGGTTTTCGTCGCATTTTTCCAGGTCGAGCCCTTCAACGACATAGGAGCACTCGTTTCTTTTCAACGGCAAGGTTGACCAGATGTCTTGAATCTCGGCGCGGGGGCTCTGCCTCGAAATCACCCCCATCACCCCCCGTCAGCTATATGAAGATAACCACCAGTTCTTGAACAACAAGGTGTGCCACATGCCTTGACTTTCGGCGCGCGCGTGCACTTCCTCACCATCACCCTCATCTGGATCATTAATCATCAGCGCCATCTCTACCACCGCCGTTAATCGTCGATCGTCGCCACTGCCGCCATCATCGGTCAACCACCTTCGCCACCGACACGTGGACATCAGCGTCGTCGTCGTCACCCGCCTCGACGCCGTCATTGGCCTTAGCGTTGTCACCTTCACCGTCGCCACCACCATCGCTGCCATCACCACTGCTGCCGCCGAGGTCGCCGGCGTTGCGTGACACCGCGCCCAGCCGAGCCCCCACACCCGCCCTGGAGTGCCCGCGCGCCGTGGGCGGCCTCTGGGACGCGCTGGAAAGCTCCCGTCGGCAAGCGCCCCCGCGGCCCAGCAATTCTTCCAAACCAGCCGGTTGCTCAACACGCGAGCTTGCGCGTGCCGGTGTGGCTGCAGAGGTACGTCCGCAATCGTGGCCGCGTGGTTTTGTAAGATAAGTTGCGGGTTGGAGGGCGGGATGTCTGCGCGAGCAGTGGAGCTGACAATTCACGACTTTCAAAGATGCATTGTACCACATAGTTGGCGCTACACATGTTGCACTGCGTAGCTTGCACCATGTCATTTGCACCGCATCGCTTACATCTGCACTACATACCCGACGCCACATAGCTTGCACCACATAGCTTGCAGGACACACGCACACAGTTTACACTACATAGCTTGCACCGCGTATTATGTCCTTTCAAAAGAAAACGAACTCTTATCGCCCTCCCTTCGGATTATCAAGTACCCTGTGGCAGAACAGCTCACATATGAAATGATGATGCTTCCTCGTTTGTTTTCCAAACGAAAGCATACCATCCCAAGAAGGCCGGGTATCCTCACCCATCCTTGTCGAGTAGTACTATGCGCGTGCATCCGTTGATCTTCAAGCATCATTTTGCAAGCGTCCCTTGCAACACACTTCGCAAAGTTCTTGCGCGCGCATATGTGTCGTCATCGTATCAGGCGCAATCTGTGTTCAACATCCAAGCACAACACCAGCCTCCGTATCTTCATCACAAAGATTGTCGATGTTCTGCCCGCGCGCACTTGCTGAACTCATAGGGCGCCACATGATGTCAGGCATATCGTCCACAACCCGCATTCTCCTTTCACCACGCGTACATCATCGTTGACCCAGCATGCTCCCAATGTAGGAACCCGTATCAAATTATCATCTGTGGGTCACGTCACGCCAACGCGCGCTCGTGTCGAAAATCTTATAACCCTCTTGGTTTTCGAATTGTTTCAATATAGAACCCTTGAGCAACATATGAAAAGAACCACCATTTTTTGAACAGCTGGATTTGCCACAATTCTTATGTTTCGGCGCCCGCGCGCGTGCACTTCCTCACCTTCACCCTCATCGAGATGATCATCAGCGCCATCGCACCACCGCCATTAATCGTCGATCGCCGGCATTGCGGCCATCATCAGTCAATTACCTTCATCCCTGACACATGGACATCATCATCGTCATCGTTGTCACAGCATCGGCGCCGCCCCCCGCCCCCCCCCAGTCAACGACCCGCAGGACAGTGCCCGCGCGCCAGCGCGGCTTCTTCTGAAACGCGCTGAGAATTTTGCAGAGGCAACCGCCATCGCGGCCGCACTTGTTGTGCCAATCCAGCTGGCCGTTGCGCGCGCTAGCTTGCACGCGCCAATGCGGCCGCAGAGACGCGCCAGTCAGTGCCAAGCATATCCGCAATCGCCGCCGCACGGCTTTGGCAAAACAACTTCCGGGTGGGAGGATGGGACGATTGCGCGAGCAGTAAAGTTGACCCATCCTGAGTTGACACAAATTAAGTACACCACGTAGATTGCACCACGTGGCTTTCACCACATACGTAGCTAACACATCCACAGCGCAATGACTTACCGTTTGGGGTTCACGCTGGCAAGCACATATGTATATAAACATTCAGAAGTCACATGTTCACAAGGCTCTTCGACACCGTCTTCGAGCACGAGCTGCCCAAGTCAGCCTCGCCTCCCAACATAGTCGACCTGACGTACGGCTGGCTGAGGGACGACGTGAAGGCGAATACCCAGATCAGCATGCACTCCCAGGTCACCATCAACGGCAAAAAGGAGAAGGAGCACTACCAGTTCAAGAGGCTGCGGAAGCAGTTCGGCGTGCCCGACAGCTTCCTGGACGAGGGCGCAGCGGGGAGGTCGCCGGAGGCCGCCAGTGACGTCATCGTGACCTGCGAGCCGCTGTCTGACCCGCACGCGCAGGTGCGGTGGAGGAGCTTCCACGTGCTCGCGCAGAGCTACTTCGAGCACATGGCGCAGAACCCCGACAGCCTGCTGCCGCGCATCTACTCCGCCTGGTTCTCGGAGTCCGAGAGCGGGCTCTGCTATGCGATGCAGTCCCTCGTCCCGGGGCACTTCGTCAGCGACGTCGAGTGGAGCCGAGGCCTGAGCAGTGCCACGCTCTTCTGGGAGTTGAAGGGGTCGACCTCCCTGAAGGAGTATTTCGGGCAGCAGCACCAGTATCCGATCTTCGAGGACGCGGACTTCAAGCGCGACCTCGTCCTGCTCTTGCCAGCACAGGTTCGGGAGGAGCTGATGGAGCAGCTCAAGGCGGACACCCAGTGGCTGAGTCGAAACGGCTTCATGGACTACAGCTTGCAGCTGCTCCGTGTGAAGGTCGGCGACGCAGACGCGAACATCCTAAACAAAGTCTGCCCTGGGGCCCCAGACGCGAATGGCAAGATGCATCGCGCTTTCTTCCAGCGGGACGGAGGCTTCTCTGGCACCGCTGCGCCATGGGACAGCTGCATCTACCTGTGGGCGATCGGCTTGGGCAACACCCTGCAACCGTACTCGCTGTACGAGGCCTTCTTGGCCGCGATGAACAGGGTGGTCCATCCTGGCCTGGCGCTGACCGACGTCGATCCCGAGAAGTACTCGGAGAGCTTGCAGGCCTTCATGCTGGAGCACTCGAAGTCCGAGATCGAGCTCCCGCCGGGCGTGGACGCCGACGTGGCGCCGCGCAAGTACCAGGCGGCCTTCATCTACCAGAAGTGCTCGGAGGCCCAGGACAGCGCACGGGCCAGCACGCCACACCCGCCGCCGGTGTTCGGGTTGACCCCAAAAGGGGTCCAGACACGAGGGGGATTGGTGCAATAGAGTTGGTGCAATGGATTGTCGGTGTTGCAATCCATTTTGGGCGTGCAGCACACTCCGGGGCGCAGATGTATTTGCTGGATTCTCGCGTGCAAGGCTGTACCTGCAATACAGTGCAAGACAATGCTCCGGCGCCGTACACGTGCAACGCCACTGCCCCAGATCTGCTGCAGCACCCCCCTTGCAGCTGGACCCCCCCTTGGGCCGCGGGTGCACCCGAAAGGTGTGCGAGGATGTCGGGCTCGTGGACGTGGTCCCCGAGCTGCAGGGCCTGCTGGAGGAGGCGTCGCGGGACTTCACCGAGGACGAGGCGCGCGCGGCCCGGGCGCAGCTCGGCGTGGACGGGGCGCCGTGCGCGGAGGGCGCGGCGGCCGCCTCGCTCGTGGTCGGGCCAGCGGCGGACGGCGACCCCGCGGCCCCCTCGTCAGGGACGGCGAGAGGGGGGGAGGCACAGCGTTGAGTCGGGCGTGTCCCTCTACAGGAGGAGTGTGCAAGAATAGTCAAACAACAATGGTCTGGGGGCGATGTTTCGAGCATGTTTGGCCCTTTCTGGTTTTCTGTGGGCTATTTTTTGGTCGTTCGTCCAAAATTCGCCTGTAGGGGGACACGCCCGACCTGAGCATAGGGGGAGATGCATCGACCCCCACTCGTCCATCCATCCGCCGGTAGAGGCCCGATGGCCCATCCCCGCCCAGGAACGTCCGCGTCCACTATGGGATGGCCCGTCGCCAGTCCATCAGCGATGCATCGCCGATTCTGGGTCGATGGTTCCTGCCAGTCCCCCCACGGTACGAAGACACCACGGCGGTGGAAGCAATCGGATGTCTATCGCAGAGAACTCGTCAGAGTGGGAAAGGCTTGGAAGCTCGGATGTGTCAGGCGACTACATGCGTGGCACCCCGGCGCCTCCTTCCGGCCCCGCGCGCGGCCGCCCTTCTGGGCGAACTGGGAGTTGCCTCGTGCTTCTTGCCTCTGGCCTTCTCCAGGAGGGAAAAACAAACGGACACAATTCATCGTCGACTCCTCGGAGAATATGTGAGAATCTGCGAAGTGGGGTGGGGGAAGACGGAAACCCACAACACACATATATATATATATATACACATACAAATGAATATATGTATACACATGAGAAAATGAGGAATCCTGTATTTGTGTGTGCCTGGGCCCCCTCACTCCTGCCAGACCCCCCCCTCGTTGCCCCTCGCCTCTGCCGCGGCTGCGGGCGCGGTCCAGATCAGCCGGGACATCTCGGCGGCGCGCCGTCGGGGGGGAAAGGAAGGCGGAGGGGGGCGGGCCGGCCTCAAGGGGCGGCGGGCCCCCCCCCCGAGCGGTGGGCCTGTTTTCCACCACCACCACCATGTGCTGGAGGGGGTGAGGAGGAGGAGGATGAGGAGGAGGAGGAGGAGGAGGAGGAGGAGGGGGAGGAGGAGGAGGAAGAAGAGGTGAGGATGACCCCCTCTTCCCCTCTCCTATCTACTTCTGGTGGTGGCGGTGGGCAACAGGCCCACCATCGAGGGAGCCCCCGGTCCCTTCCGAGGAGCCTTCTGGGCCCCCTCTGGGGCTCGTTCTCGATCGATGCCGACTTCGATCCGATTCAGATGCGGATTCCGATGTGAATTTCGGCTTGGAAACGGGAGGATGAGGAGGAGGGTGAGGAGGAGGAGGAGGAGGAGGAGGAGGAGGAGGAGGAGGAGGAGGAGGAG